CCGATAGGGCGGAACGAGGTCCGCTTGCAATTTCCGCCGCCAGCATTGATTGCTTGCTTCAACTTCACTTCCAATCCTTCCCTATAGGATGAACTGTTTTCCCGACCCCGATATTCCTTCCTGGAGCACTGCCGGGCTTCATGCTCTTTCACTCTCGCCAGAAATTCCGTGGGACAAGATACGACGCCGTGAATGAAGCAAGGCGGCATATGCGACGTTATCAGTTGTCCTACGGTATTCAGTGTGTCCTCCGTGCTCCGCGATGATAAGGTACCTGTACCAATCGGAAGTGGGCATCCGCAGAGGGTCTCATGACGCGCCAAGCCGAGGCAACCTGGCCACAATGCTCATTGCTTAGCTGAGCTTGGCCTGCATGGAAAGCTTGTGGTGGATGTAGGACGGAAGAGGAACTCGTCCTTACTATCCTTGTTCCTCATCCATCTTCGATTCTTCAGCGGAGACATCTATCCTTCGACAAGCTTCGTTCCCCAGCGCAAGCCATTTCGATGACCTTGGAGACAGCATGGCGGAGTCGACAGAAAAGACAAAGGAGACGGGAGTCCTAGCTCCGTCTCCGACTACTACAAAAGAGGGCCAGATGAGTTCATACATCAGGCCGCAAGCTCGAAAGCTTCATGATCCGGACGTCACGCTGGAGGAGTACCTGTACTATGCCCAAAAGACACGAGAAATCGAAAAGTCGTACGAGTCTCCCAAGTTGAGATGGCGACAAATCCTCCGCCGAAACAAGGAGGCAAACGACGGGATTGCCGAAAGTACTGCGGAAGTTAATGGGGACGGCAAAGACTTTCAGAACGATGTCAATTATTCCAGCCCAGATGCTCGCCTTCAAATCTCGGATGAGGAATGGATCAATGCTAGTCGGGCTTTTCGGACTGCTAGCTCGGCAAGTTGCTTCTTCTTAATCACCACGGACATCCTGGGCCCGTACGGTGTTGGGTTTTCATTGGGAACGCTGGGCTGGGGACCGGGTATCGCTTTGTACACGGTATTCGGCTTCTTAGCTGGGTACAGTGGCTACTTAGTATGGCGCGTCTACCTGGGCGTTGATTCTTATCAATTTCCATGCCGCAATTACGGGGATCTCGCATACAGATCGCTAGGCACCGTGGGTCGGCACGTCACGAATATCCTCCAGGCGGTGGCCCTTCTTCTGGTTCTGGGGCAAGTCACCCTCCAATACGGGCAAAACATCTCCCAGGTCTCCAAATTTCGGCTCTGCTACGCTGTGTGTCCGTTGCTGTTCACGATCGTCGGTCTTGTACTCACCCAGATCCGGACCTTGAAGGCGTATGGTCTTGTCGCCAATTTTGCTGTATACCTCAACCTTCTTGTCATCTTCATGACCATGGGCTTCATTTCGGCTTCTCCGCCGAATTATGCTATCTCCGTACTTGGATCCGCTGGAGGCGCGGTTGATCCATCTACTATCACTCCCGATGCGCATGGAAATTATCCTGCCATCTTCCATTACTCTAAACTGCCACCTGGCAGTCTCGTGGGCTCCGTCAACGGCTTATTATCGGGCGTGCTTGCCTACGCCGGTGTCCAGCTCTTCGTGGAATTCATGGCAGAGATGAGACGACCTCTCGACTTCATCAAAGCAATGTGGGGCGCTCAATTCTTCATCTACACGGTGTACATGGCGTACGGCTGCTTTGTATACTACTACCAGGGACAGTATGCAGTCGAACTGAGACCACTTCGACGTAACGCTAACACTACGCAGGTATAGCTACAACCCGAGCTACCAGGGCGTTTCAGTGTACGGCTGGCAGGCGGCCGGTAACATCCTGACTCTCATTTCAGCTCTGATCGCAGCCGGCCTCTATGGAAACATCGGGGTCAAGGTCCTCTACAACAACGTCCTCATGGATCTCTTCAAGGCTCCCCCACTTACCACAAAGAAAGGAAAGATTCTATACGCGGCGATTGTCCCCATCTGGTGGGCGATTGCCTTCGTCATTGCCGCAGCCATTCCGGACTTCTTCGGCTTCGTCAGTCTGATGTCGGCGAGTACCCTGATCAACCTATGCTATTCCCTGCCGCCGCTCTACGCCCTGGGTTTCGCCGTCAAGAAAAACGCTATCCAATTCGATCGCGGCGAAGGTTTCAATCCCGAGACAGGCGAAGTCAAGCGCGTTGATACAGGCTTTCGACGACTGATGCGAGGTTTCCTCGCCGGCGGGCCCCTCCAGATCGGCATCAACGTCTGGCATGTGCTGTACTTCCTCGCTTCGCTGTCCATGTGCGGGTTGGGAATGTATGCTGCTGTTGAAGGGTGAGTGCTTGAAAAATTCAGACTTTTGCAGGCGGCCTGTTAATCTTGTTTAATAGGATGATTGAGGCGTTCCAGACTCAACAGTTGAGTGCGTTCAGCTGTCGGTCGCCACTGAATCTGAACGCTTGAGGAAATTCCTTGATAGGACAGATATAAGGACGATTACTTATGAATGCTTTCCTAATTGGCCTCGCGCCTGGCTCTCTGCAATAGCAACGCACGACTGTTCCAAAGCTGTTTTTCAATTCCCCGGGCGAAATCTCTTTGTTTCTCGCCGTCACATGCCGTCGCTTGTAGCTTGCCATTCGGCCTCTCGGGAACCCGCACAAAGTACCAGCCGCACTACGACAAACACCATGCCGTCGATCACGGCTCCTGACGCCGAAAGAAGCTTTGAAAGCTCGAACTCCTATGCAAATCCCTCGCCTATCGTTTGGCACTGGCTTGGAGTGAAATTAGATACAGACCGATGTGTCCATTAGGTGGAAGGGTCGCTGCTTTGGGCATAAGAAGCTCGTATCCAAGCACCTAAGACCCGTAGAATGAAGTTTTGTATCGAAACTCGACGACATGTGCTTTGATAACATCGATGAGCTTGAATTGTGAATTGAAAAGGCGCGGGAGACGGTGAGGGGGATATATGTGCCACGGCGTGTCACTGTCCACCTGCAGGGCCATCGTCAATGACATCCAGTGGTACATTATATATCCAACTAAGTCGACCTCTCGCTATCGTCACAACTATATCCATCAAGATGAAGTCGCTATTCGCCCTCGCTCTGGCAGCCGCTGCGACTACCGCCGACACCAAGGTACACATTCTGGCCTTCCAGGACTGGAGTGGGCCTCTCTGTCGGCTTTCATGTCTTCGATGGCATTTTGGGCTTTGGAGATGTCTCGGCTGCCCATGAGGACGTGGTGCTTGCCTGTGGTAGAGAGTTGTTGGACGGCGTACCAGCCGATGCCGGTGTTGCCTCCCGTGACTAGGACGATCAGTTTGTCGGATGACATTGTTGTGATCCAGAGATTGCAAAGAGAGGTTCTTGTAGAGACGTATGCCTGGGCGAGGCAGAGATGTCTATGCATATTTCCGTGGGACAGTGGTTGGAGGATGTGTAGATGTAGTGATCCTCTACGTGCCATACCGGAGTGACAGCGCTCTAATGTTTCCGCTGAACTCTAATTCTCGGTGGTTGCAGACATCATCCACCGAATGCTCCGAGTGGCGTGGCACATGTAGTCGGTCTTGCCCAAGCCTTTCATCTTCGCTGCGACGCTCTTTCGAGACGTGGAACTGCCTTGCAGGTTGCAGTCGAAGTAACGTGCTGTGAAATATTAAGCACAGTGCAGAACCTCAGCAGTCGGCCTGCACCAGCCGAGCGTGGACTGATTGGACGACGAGAGGACTGTGATGCCGTATGTCAGGGCTATCGCATTGTAGCATATATTGTAAACTTCGTTACGGTAGATGGTCTACCACTCATCCGCCTCCTCGTTCCTCCAGAACTCACCCGTCTTTCCTCCAATGTCCTGCAGAGCAAGCATGACTGGTGTCTTGGCACCCTCATCGATCGTCTTCCGGCCTCTGCCTTTGGTCATGTCTGTGTTGACGTATCCCGGGCAGCATGCATTGACCAGGATACCAGTATTCTTCTTCGCCTCTTCCATGGCGAGCACTTTCGTGTACGCGGTCTCGCCAGCCTTGCTCACCGCGTATGCTGCGGAAGGGAAGCCGGCTTCCTTCTCTTTGCCTTGATCCACGGCTTGTTGGAATTGCTGCATAATGGCTGTCACGGCTGGGACGGAAGTCTTGGCAGCGGCATGGAATGCGTCACGAATCTCGTCGGAGTACTTGTTCAGCAGCCCGGACGTGCTGGATACGTTGACCAGTCTTCCGCCAGGCTTGATCAGTGGCAGCAGCGACTGGCTTGCCTCTAGAGTTCCGTAGTAGTTTGTCTCCAGCGTCTTTTTTACTACGTTGGAATCGAACCCATCCATAGCTATGCCAGCGTTGTTGATCAAGATATCGATTCCCTCTGGATGCTCTTTCTCAAGAAAATCCCTGAAGTCTTGCACGCTCTTGGTCTGGCTGATATCGAGGGCCTGATACTTGATAGTGGTGTCGCCGCCATCTTCACTCAGCACTTTGGCTTCCTTCAGCTGTGGATCGCTGTTGAGGGCTTTCACAGCGTCTGCGCCTCGCTCAGGGGATCTCGCAGTTAGGTAGATGAGGAATGGTCCCGACTTGAAGGGCGAAGATGGATACTGTAGGGCGAGTTGACGGACTTTTGTCTGTTAGCATAACGTGAGGACCGGGATGGATTCCAGTGTATACCAATCGCCAGCCCGATGCCCTTGTTGGCGCCTGTCACGGCGGCCACTCTCGATTGTGAAGCCATATCTGCAGAGGTGTCGTGCGAGTGAGGGGCATCGCAACGGAGATGTTGTTTAGGCGGTTCTTCGGTCATTTCATGATTAATGTCCATGAGGCCGAGCACGACGGGAGGCTCGATCCGCAGACGGTCCGATCCGCAACGACTGCACGATGACGAACACCTTCCTGACGACGACGAGCAGACCTGCTTCTCGATCGCGAGCTCCAAACAAACGAACGATACCAAGAAATCCTCCGGGTTGGCTGGCCCAGCGATCTTCACATTACGTACCAACCTACAACTCCACATTCCAACCTGATATATTGCTTCAACTCCAGCCCGCTTCTGGGCTGAATGTCCCAAGACACGTCTGCTGGCAGCACTGTGCTGGCTCCTCTACCCAAACGATCAACATTTCCACGAACCATCAGTGAACTTGTCACGACCCAGCTCGTGCCCGGTAATATGGCTAAGAGTCAGGCTCTTCACACCAATATGGGTGTGGATTATGTCATCGTCTTCCGTTTCCCTCCAGAAGGTATCCAGATCCGATGATAAATGGCGTGGACAGCTTGCTGATGTGACCGTACACAGACAAAATCAAGGCTGCCTCAAATTTTGAGAAGCTATGCCAGAAGCTATCCTCGGCAGGTCTTGCAACGGAAGCACGCAATGGCGAGAACAACTCCGTTCTGCTCTTCGTCAAGGTCGCCAGTGATGAGCACATGCACGCCGAGATCTACCGCAGTCGTGTAAAAGACTGGATCCATGGCGTACGATCCGGAGAGCCACCTCGTGATGTCCGGGCTTCGTTGGAGCAAGACCCATTGACAGACGCAGAGCGACTCCGTATCATCTACCAACTGATCACCAACCACGAGAGCGAAGGCGGCGCCGGCATCAAGCCCAAGTCGGAGGATTGGAAGTATGTTGAGAGCATCTTCGCCCTACACGATCACACGTACAACAAGCAGTGGATTCAGAAGTGGTCGACAGAGTATCAAGTCAAATCTGAAGATCTGGATGAGATTCGCGACCGCTTTGGAGAAAAGGTCGCCTTCTACTTCGCCTTTGAACAGACCTACTTCAACTTCTTGATTGCACCTACTGCGGTTGGCTTCTTAGCTTGGCTGTTCCTTGGCTCCTTTAGTCCCATCTATGCCGTGGCTGCTTCGCTCTGGTCGATTGTCTTTGTTGAGTGGTGGAAGCATCAGGAGCGCGACCTTGCCATAAGGTGGGGAGTGCGCGGCGTCAGCAACATTGAAAGCAAGCGACACGACTTCGTTGCTACCACAGAGTTCGAGGATCCAGCCACCGGAGAGACGCAGCGCATCTTTCCTTGGAGCGAGCGTCTCAAGCGCCAACTCCTGCAGCTACCCTTCGCACTGGCCGCAACTCTGGTTCTTGGTAGTCTCATCTGCCTCTGCTTCGCCATCGAGATCTTTATTGGAGAGGTTTACGTTGGGCCAGGCAAATCGATTCTCACCTTCACACCCACGGTCATCTTAACGACCTGCTTGCCTCTTCTCACGGGAGTCATGTCCACTCTTGCGAAGCGGTTGAACGACTACGAGAATTACGAAACAGAATCCCAGTATGAGAGATCGCACACCATTAAGTTGTTCGTCCTGGACTTCATCACCTCGTACCTTGGCATCATGCTCACCGCTTTTGTCTATGTTCCGTTTGGCAGCGTCCTTGTGCCCTACTTGGACGTCTTTACTCAGATCTTCTCAAAGGAGAATGTAAAATTCAAGACCAAGGCCGTCGACCACTTCACGATCAACCCGGATAGGCTCCGAAAGCAAGTCATCTACTTTGCCGTGACGGCTTCCATCATTAACTTTGCCATGGAGGTGCTCGTTCCCTACTTGAAGCGACAAGGCTTCCTGAAATTCAAAGAGATGACCGCGAAGCGTAATGGCAACGGTTTGCAACCATCAGCTTCGGCAGAAGACCATGCGGAGGAGAAGGAATTCCTTGATCGTGTTCGCAGCGAAGCCGAACTACCTGCCTACGATGTCTACACTGACCTCCGCGAGATGATCATCCAATTTGGCTATCTGAGTCTCTTCAGTGTTGTTTGGCCACTCGTTCCGGCTAGCTACCTGGTCAACAATTGGTTTGAGATTCGAGCAGATGCTGTGAAGATCTGTGTGGAAATGCAACGCCCTACACCTTGGAGAGCCGACACCATTGGACCATGGCTTGACGCGCTCAGCTTCCTGACTTGGCTGGGCAGCATCACAATGGCAGCCCTCACATACATGTTTTCGAATGATGGTGTCGGCCCAGATGGACGGCCGCACGACATCAAAGGATGGGGTCTTCTCCTTGCCATTTTCTTCAGCGAGCACCTCTATCTCTTCATCCACAGCCTGGTTGCCAGCGCCATCTCTCGCATCGATTCCCCAGGACGCCAAAAAGAGCGGAGAGACCGGTATGTCACACGCCAGAAGCTGATCCAGGACAGCCTGGAGAAGCTTCCGCGTACGCGGACCATCGACCTGAACGACGAGAAGCCAATCACGAGGGATACGCTGGAGGAGGAGCAGAGAATGGCAAGCCTGAAGAGCGCCACTCCCACGGAGAGGTTCTGGGCCCGACAGCAAGGATGGCGGGAGAGTGCCCAGATTGGCAAGGGCTTCATCGACAAGGCTGTTGCGGAGGACGCAGCTAAGGACAAGAAGGAGCTATAAACGTCAAATCTTCCGAAGAAAATTGAGCCACAGGCTATGGTGGACTTTCCTGAGACCATGTATATCTATACAGTACATTATTAGCGCGGCGCTTGGTAGGCCCCAGGAAACGGACAACACTGAGAATTATTGCGGAGGTATACAGTCGAAAGAATCTCGTGCTTTGCGAGTCATGACATGAGGCTGCAGGTTGCATGCAGATTCAGATCGGTTCACGTCATTGAGCATTCCGTGATGCTGCTTGCGCCACTTGACCGATAGTAATTGATCGATGAGGCGTGTCCCTAGAGCACCGTATCACGTATATCGAACACGGCGACCCTCCCACCCTCCCGTCCCCGTCTCGTTTCGTCACACCAAAGCCGTGCCGTGCCATCTTATCTTTCCCTCATCTTCAGCCACCGTTCCAGAGGTCCCTCGACCCCCGAACAATTGCCTCTTTTCGAACCGTCGTCTTCGATCAATCCATCTACCGGGTGGGAATATCGATGATGATCATGATGATGATGATGATGATAATACTAATAAGTTGCTCTATATCTCCCCAACCGAACCGACCGATTTTGAAATTTGAAGCGCCGCGGAAAGTCCAAGAATGGCGTGTGGCGTGTGGCGTGTGGCGTGTGGCGTGCATGCCGAAAGTCTCCTCGAATTTTTTGGATTTGAAGAGGGGAGGGTTTTGATTGACACACGGTACGGTGTGGTACGGGTACGGTGTGGTACGGTTGAGAGACGGTAGAGAGAGAGGGAGCGTTGTGCGTTGTGCGTTGTGCGTTGTGCGGTGTCGAGCGGTGCGCTATACATTGTAGTCTTTCTGGAATGAATGATGAGGTTGAGGCTGGGGGGGGGGGGGGGGAATGCCGGCCGGTTGATGGCGATTGCGTTCTTCGATTCAATGGCCCATCAATAATAACAAAGTCTTGAACGCTCGATGATGGGAGCCTATCTGTATCTGTGTATGTCTCTCTCTCTCTCTCTCCCCTCTCGAATCTCCAGCAACAAATTTTCAAAATACAACTTTTTCCAAACATTTGGTATGGTAAAATAAAATGAGGCCTTCCTCCTCTTCCCCTTCCCCTTCCCAAACTCCAAACGCCAACGCCAACGCCAACGCCAAATCATTCGGCTCTTCTTCCCCTTCCAACCGACTCCGAGACGAAGAAGACAAAGACAAAATCGCCTGTCAAAGCATCGTCAGCGCTTATAGCAGCGAAATTTTTTTTTTCTTTCTGGGGTTGAAATGCTCTTCCCAAATGAGACTTCGCAGGGGGGGGGCGGCCCTCAATGCAACGAAGCGATGGGAATTGTTCGAGTTGGTAGACGGCCAGTGTGTGTGCGGATTCAGAAGTTATGGTTTTGAGGTTCTAGGTATTTATAGCGCTGCGGTAATAGTGATTCGGGGTAAGTTGGTTGAGTGAGTTGGATATAATGCGAAAGGAGAAGGGAGAAAGGGTCAGAGGGAAGGGGGAAGAGGGGTTCGCGTGGTATGGGTGAGGATTCTACTACTACTACTCCCCCCAATTTGGAAGAGACAAGTCGACGCTGACGGTTGATTTTGTGTGTGTGTGTGTGTGTGGAGACAGGGATACGAAAATTCTGCCAAGTGATGGGTCGAGTACGGATTATCCGAAGCAGCAGACGAACGAAGGTATTCTATAGTGTGGATGGTGGATGATGGAGTATGCTCAGGCTGCTCTCTGGTTGTTACGGCGGGTCGGGGGGCTTATACGCGATGGAGTTTCTGTCAGAACAGCATGGAGGTTAGAACATGCCATGAGGAGCGTTTGTGGTCAGCTCTGCGAAGCGGGAAGTAAGAAGGGAGAGAAGCAGCAGAAAAAGGCAGCGCGTCAATCATGATTCGTGTACATCTTGATTTCTTTGCAGAAGCTTTGCACATGTCGGCATATCCGTCAACCTCGAATCGAACGAGCAGAAGATACGACAATCTACGCGATGCCCTCCAGATTCTCCTCGATCGACTGAGTGAGAGGCTTGTAGCCAGTCTCCTGGCCATACCACTTCTTCAGAAGCTCTGCGCCAAGCTGGTTGGGCACCTTGCTCAGGTCTCGGCCCTCGTTCTCCGGTGGACTGGGTAAAGTGTTTGCATTCGGGCGCAGCTGCTTGATGGCGTGGATGATGTCGGTCCAGTTGAAGGGTACATTGAAAGCAAAGATGCGCTCGTTGTTGATCGAAGGGTCAAAGGCCGCAATAAGGTGGAGCCGGGCGTCGTCGACCACATCGATCATGTACTCTTGAGGATGGTCAGCACGGAGGACTTGTAGGCGGCAAGCTTGAATACTCACGCGGTGTGGTAGTGGGAACTTCGCCCCTGTAAACCCTTCGAACGCCCTCTCCCGTGGCGCCTGGAGATCCATGCTCCAAGATGCGGCCCATGTTGTAGTTGGGCAGAACGGCATTGGCGACGAAGTGAGGCTTCTCATCCTTGACAAACTTCCAGAACGCCTTCTCGGCCTCGGTCTTGGAGGCAGCATACACTGGGAAGGCGCGGTCCGAGTTGTAGGGCGGCGGAGCCCATGCCAGATCGAGGGCTTCTTGGTCCCAGTGGTCGGCGGTAATGGTCATCTCCTTGTTCGGATGGGGCAAGAGGGCGGCGGATGATGATGAAGTGAGGACAAACTGCTTGACCGACGGGGTCTTGGCGGCAGAGCGCAGGATGGAGAGGACACCAGCGACAGTGGGCTTCACGACTTTGTTGGGGTCTGGATCGAAGGTGGTGTCGCTGGCGACGTGGATGACGGCATCGACTTCCTGGACGGCCTCGTCGAAGGCTCCTTCGTGGGAGAAGTCGGCGGCAATGGCGGTGGAGTAGTTCGGGTTGTGACCGAAGATCTTCTTGGTATGCTCGGCCTTTGCGTGGGTGCGGGCAGTGCCGCGGACCCTAAAGCCAGCGGCAAGGGCTTCATTGACTACGTGCGAGCCGATGTATCCCGATGCACCGGTGACGAGGATGAGGGAGCCATGGGAAAGGCTGACGTCGTGTATCTTGTCGCCGATGAGCTTTGCGGCGAGGTTGCTGATCGCCTGCATCTTGTCTAGTTGATTCGAATCGAATCTGTTGATTAGAATGTCTGTGAGAGAAGTGAAAGGGCGAAGAAGTTAAGAGAGAGATGTACGGGGACCCTGGCCTGGGAGGAGGGAAACGGAAAGGTGCTATGACGTGGCGTTGAAAGTCTATCTAGCAAGACGCACCTCAGTATCAACATCATTCATTCTCCTCCATCTGATCCGAGGACTGGACCTTCGCCCGCTCGATGGACTTGTGGCTGCGGTTGATTTGTAAGATGATGCGTTGAGGTGGTGTCTCACGCGAGGTCACGTGCCTTCCTCTCACTCGGTCGACATATCAACTCCGCGCCAACGGGGACATCAGGCCGGCGGACATCAATTCGGTGGACATCAGTCCGGTGGACCGAGACCTGCATCGCATCGCATTGGCTGGCGTCGCATCGGCCCTCAGCTGGTATGGCAGTCTCCTGTGCATTCATATGCCCACATGTGCCAAGCAGAGGCCATTGCACATGATGAGCGACGATACCTATCTGCGATCCGCCTGGGCAAGGCTGTCGTCGACGGATCTGATGGCCGTGGGCCCATGCAAACCCAATTGAGAGAGCTCGACGGCAGGTGGGGTGGGGGACGACTTCCCTCACTGCAACCTACTCTCACTCTGCTAGCACCTCCTCCTCCACTCCTTTTCCATTCAATTTGCTACATGTAGCAGACGAGACCACCACATCTGTCCATCATGGCCCCACAAGCTCCTCAAAAGCTCAGCGGACGCGGCAAGCGTCTCACCCCTCAACTGACCTGGACCCAGGAGATGAGGATTACCTTGGATATTCTGCAAAAGGACTCATCACTGACCTGGGAACTGCGGTCCAAGGTCTTCAATCATATCTGGCAGCAACACATCCAGGCATGCGGGTTCGTCGACACAGTGCCTTGCAAAACGCTGCAGTCTCAATGCAATCCGTCCGAGAAGAAGAAGAATCAGCAGTGGATCAAGCTGGCTGCTGGCCCCAAGACCAACGAAGAACGGGCCAAGTTCTCTCAAATCGAAGCTCAAGTTAGAGCCCTGACGAGAGACTTCGAAGCCGGCCACGACAACCGGCAAGACGATCCATCCGAAATCCGTGTATATCCAGCACCGGTGACTGCGATTACTCCGCAAGGCTTCTCACCGCACCGACAGACTGATGAACGCCCAGCATCAGCATATTCGGCAACATCAACGGGCTCCAAGGCCCATGTGCTGCAACCAGCACCAAGGTCGAATGCCGACGACAGCCAAGTAACAAGCTCTGAACACTTTCAGCCACTGAGCAAGCGGCCAGCGATTGCGGTGTGGGATCCCGAAGCCACCGCGCTGGAGTCAGGGGTTAGTCAGCGCGCTCCTAAGCGGCAGCGGATGGCTGTCTCGCATCCTCAGGTGCAGGTATGTGTCCGACGACGGGATTGGAGCATGGCCTCTGAGGCGACAGTCTCTCCGGCGACCCTTCTCGCGTCGCCCTCGACAGCCTCTCGTTCGTCTCAAATTCGAAACCCCAAAGTCGCTACCCCCAAAAGGCCGTACCATCGGCCTTACGACATCATCAGGGGATGCAAGCCCCTGAGTCTCACCGAGGAGCAACATAGACGCTCACAACAAGATTTGATTCCTGTGCCGGAAGAACTCGCGCATGCGCCCTTGACGCCACTTCTCTATCGGTACTGGGTGCCTCGCCCTGCTGAGGATGGACGCTGTGTGAACAGTGAGACCGGCTTCGGTGAGTCTCCTGCCAGGAGCGAGGCATTTCCTCATGTCTGAAGGGACTGCTTACGTTCTACACTTGAATTTTAGTGGCCGGGAGGTACGCTCACTGTGTACGGATGTACCAGCCTCCGCGACATCCGGATTGGACGGATATTTTGAACCACATCGGACGAAGGCCGCATCCTAGTCCGTACATTTCCGTGTCGAATGCATTCTTCTGGGTCTTACGCAATGCGCTCAAGGAAGCCAACAAGCAGAATGAGAAAGGCGAGATGGCGGATGTACACATCGCCATCATTGATGCCAGGCGCCTGGACAAGCGTTCCGTCTTCTACGTGCCTCCCTTTCACACGGAGACCAAGAAGAAGTTCGGCCATTATGACGGAGCGTGGAATTACAGCGGCACCCATGAGTTTCTTGTCGAGAGAGAGATCCCAGGAAGCGCCATTATCCGCACCGTCAGGGTCCGTGACCTCGTGCGCCTGGCAAGGGGCAATCCAGTGCTGGAGCAAGCTCTCGCGTTGCAACTACTGACAAAGCACATGGCCTTCCAAACGAGCCTTTTGCCGACTCTCCGACGACGAGAAATCGGTATGACGGTGCCCATCGTTCGGGGCATCGCATCGCTGATCGATTTCATGGGCTGCAGAGACATGGACCAGATCTCGCATGTCGTAGCGGATATCGTACAGGGCTGGGCAATACAGCTGGAGTGGCGGTCCACGACGGAATGGGCGCAGCTTGCCAGCGTGTTCGCGGAATCTCTGCCCGGGAGCAGTGGACAGCAAGCGCAGCCAGCACGGCTCGGGTTCCTCGACGGCTTACGATGGGGTTGCTCGAAGCATTTCAACACGGGACATAGCGCCAGTCGTGTTCGGAAGATGCAGAAGCAAGCGCGAAAAGTTGGTCTTGAGGATCCGATGAAGATTCTCCTGGACGAGCTCGACGCTGCGAAGATTCGGGTGAGACTGCTGGGGGCCGAACAGGCGCGCGTGATCCAGGACAGTGAGACGCGGACACGGAGGCAGCAGCGTGTGGTGATGGGCCATGCCGTCGACGAGTACGAAGCTGAAGATGACGATGACGAAGACACGATCCAGGTGCGCCGGCCGCGCCATGACCATGTTGGCGAGGAGGACGATGAGTTGGACGACGATGTTTTCGAGATGGGCGAGGACGGGCTTGTCCTTTGAAGCTTGATGGCGTCCCATGGCGACGTGGGCTGATGTTCGAATTGGCTCGGTCTGCTTGTACCGCGGGATCTCCGTTGATACTGGAATGCCTCATTGGCGACAGCACAGGCATCTTCTTGCATGATCATCATCTTTTTGGAATGCTGCGGCAGGGATGTCCTCACCAAGTTCCCGCTGAGCTCGCAATTGTCTCTCTCCATCACTACCCTGCCCTGCCCTGCCCGCCGTCCGCCAACGCTGGGGCTATTCGGCGTGTATCCATGTCACAGTTTCATCCGGGTGATGCGTAGTCAGCAGAGAGTGTAGGGTACATGTATGGGGACGACGGCGATTGTTCGGGGTCCGTCACGGGGCGCAACGACGGGATCGACGGAGAGCCAATGAGAGCTGCGCGAGGAGATCGATCTCGGGAGGGAGCGCGGGAAGTCTCAGGGGCCGAGCGGCGATTGACCGATGGAGCTTCCCGTTTCGGCAGGGACGCGCAACGGTCGCCGCGCCACGGGGAAGGAGCTGTGGAGCGCAGGAGGGTCAGCGGAAAAAGGAGCTGTAACATGCGAGCAACACCGACCACCACCACCAACTCGACCTCTGCTGCTGCTGCTGCTGCTGCTGCTGCTGCTGCTGCTCACGTTGCTTTCTGTCTCCCGTCCTCGTTGGCATGACACCACACTCGCTATACAACTCCACCTCCACCACCACCACCCCCCATCCCTCCTCACGTCACGTGCATCTGACACAGCGCTCGCTACTAAGGTAATCTAATCTATCCGCGACTCCACCGCAACCATTGCCAATTCCCACCTCAACCACTGGAACCTCCC